TGCCGCCTTCGTGCCCGCTTCACGCCATAGGCTGTGCGCCTTCGTCCGAACGCAGATGCCACTTCTATTTGTATACCCAAAAAGCTATTAGTTGTTGATTACATGCCCATCTCAGATCTACCAATGTGCAGTCATCAGGAAATGCCGTACTCGTGACTTTTACAACATCCCCTTTGCACCCTCATCAAAACTGTAAGAAATCATTCACTTTTGCAAATTTTATTATCCTTCCTTTTTTAGAACCTCGCTTCTCACCCCTCCTGATATGTGCTTCCCACAAGACCAAAAACTTCCACCTGTGCAGAGAAAACAAAATTACGACAACATCACATTTGCCAATGCAACCGTCTCCCCTTCACTTGAAACCGTCCAGAAGCCGTTTTTGAAAGAATCATATCCAAACGAAACAGTCCCTTACACATTTGGTGGTAAGATCACATGCATCTTCGGTACGATACTAATTATAGCATGTTAAAGAATCTTTTTGGAAAGCTGCACGACGTGAGGAGTTTACGAAGCTACGAAGATTCCATTTTGGCAGGTGAGAAAAGTACTGCTAATCATGAGAGTTGCAGCAGTGGTGTTCGGTAATGAGTATTCTTTCTAAGCAATGCCAACAAAATTTTTTGAAAGACAAGTCAGGGTATTCGCGATAATTCCTCTATAGCAATCGTAGGAGGCGTGTAAAGGATGGGTGGAGGCAAAAGGATTCTCAAAGAATTAATAGCCCTCATTCTTAAACTAATTCAAAGTAGCAGTCAGGTCCACCTGTAGTAATCTCAATTGGCACTGCACAGTACTGGATGAACATCAGCCTTCGCTGGTGCAGCAACCCAAATCAGTGTTTCTCATGTGAAAACTGATTGGAAAGCTCCAGCTGCTTGTTCGTAATCAAAATATCCGTCTCTGAACTCTGACACAGACCGCACTCCTTTCGAGTAAGTCTAACATCATCCTCGAGCCATAAGCTTCCTTGAGCAGGCAGAAATTACGGTCAGCTGAAGTTGAAGCTGATGTTTTCCTTCTCCGAAGGAAATTTATGAAATAGATATGGTGCTAGAACGCAAACGTCCCTGTTTGACCATCTCGTTTTCTTTTGCACATTATGAGTGATTTTGTGCAATCAAAAGTGGTACAAAAACAGCCATAACACATTTTTATGGGATCAGTATATACG